AAAAAAAAATAGCCGGGTGTTGTGGTGGGCTCCTGTAGTCCCAGCTACTCGGGAGGCTGAGACAAGAGAATTGCTTGAGCCTAAGAGTTTGAGGTTACTGTGAGCTGTGACACTAGGGCACTCTACTGAGGGTGACAAAGTAAGACTGTCTCAAAAAAAAAAAAAAAAAGAAAGAAAAAGAAAAACTTCACTGAGAAGGGACACAAAGAAAGGGGCATCAAGGGAGGTGGGCAGAAAACCTGGACTGCTGAACCAGGAAGTCAGGAGGGCCCATAAGAATGTGGGTAGGTAGGAACCTAGGTAACCAATGACAAATAGAAAGAGACAATAATCAATGACCAACAGAAAAGGGCAAAAGTGCCTGGAGTCACAGAGTGGCCGATGAAAGAGTTGCAACCAATTTCAAATGGGTTCAATACCCCCGTGTCTCCTCTCTTACCTCTGCTCCTTTAGCAGTGGGACCCACTTCCAATTCTCTTTGGAAGTGCTCTAAACTGTCTCTTTCTTCTTCCTAAATAAAAATTCTCTTTGTTACACTGAAACTTATGCAGGTTACTTTTACTCTATTCACACTGCCTGTGCTGCTCCAGTTTTATTTTCTGTTTCCATTCATTTTTGTTTTCCATTATTACTGTGTCCCAGTTGCATGTTCTAGCTAAACTGAGTAATCAAACAGGTCAGCTGGGTTTGGGGAACCAGGATCCCTGACACCCCAACAACCACTCCCAGTTATTTCCAGTGGAAAGATCATTAAGTATTTCAACTCAAATCCTGGTTTGGATGTAAGCAAGTTATGGTAATCATATAAGGCTTAAGATGACAATGTTGGCTGGACTTGGTGTTTCACACCTGTAATCCCAGCACTCTGGGAGGCTGAGACAGGAGGATCACTTGAGCTCAGGAGTTCAAGACCAGCCTGAGCAAGAGTGAGACCCCATCTCTACTAAAAGTAGAGAAACTAACCAGGCATTTTGGAGAGTACCTGTAGTCCCAGCTATTCAAGAGGCTGAGACAGGAAGACTGCTTGAGCCCAAGTGTTAGATAATTGCCTCAGAAAGCCACTTCCTCAAAAGGCCCCTTCCTGCTCTTAAAGATACAACTCCCCAAGCACAGGGAGTGGCTTACCGCATTACTCTGTTACAATTACCTGCTACCCACCCCTAACGGCTCTTTCCACCGAAGCAATAACTCCTTATTAGTTATCCCACCATCCCGTCATTCCCTATATAAGAGTACGTTTCTCCTCCCTCTCTCTCTTTCTCCCCTTCTCCCCCCTCTTTCTTTCTGTTCTCCCTCTCTCTCTTCTCCACTCTCTCCTCATCTCTCTCCCCTCTTTTCTCTCCTCTTTTCTCTTCTCTTTTTCTCTCCTCCTTGGTGCTGCTCTGCAGTCTCCCTTCCCCACCAATAAAAACCTTTTGTAAAAGCCTTGGTGGTCTGTGAGATCTCTGCCGGTAGAGTGCCTCCCTTTCATCAAGAGTTTGAGAATTGGCTCGGCGCCTGTGGCTCAAGTGGCTAAGGCGCCAGCCACATACACCTAAGGTGGCGGGTTCGAATCCAGCCCGGGCCCGCCAAACAACAATGACGGCTGCAACCAAAAAATGGCCGGGCGTTGTGGCGGGCACCTGTGGTCCCAGCTACTTGGGAGGCTGAGGCAGGAGACTCGCTTAAGCCCAGGAGTTGGAGGTTGCTGTGAGCTGTGAGGCCATAGCACTCTACCCAGGGGGATAGCTTGAGGCTCTGTCTCCAAAAAAAAAAAAGTTTGAGAATTTGAGGTTGCTGTGAGCTATGCTGCTATGATACCCTACCCAGGGCACTCTCTCTCTCTCTCTCTCTCTCTCTCTCTCTCTCTCTGTATATATATATATATATATACACACACAGACACATATATAGCCAAAAAAAAAAAAAAAACCACCAAACCCTATGGTATTCTTGCATTACGTAATTTTTTTTTTTGAGTCAGAGTTTCAAGCCGCCCTTGGTAGAGTACTTGGTGTCCTAGTTCACAGCAACCTCCAACTTGGGCTCAAGTGATCCTCTTGCCTCAGTTTTTCTATTTTTAGTAGAAATGGGGTCTTGCTTTTGCTCTGCTTGGTCTTAAACTCGTGAGCTCAAGCAGTCCACCCACCTCGGTCTCACATAGTGTTAGGTTACAGGTGTGAGCCACCTTGCCCAGTGGGTTTTTTTTTTTTTTTTGAGACACGTCTGTCTTACTCCATCTCCCTGGGTGGAGAGAATACAGGTGTGTGCCACCATACTCAGGTAGTCTGTCTGTCTATCTTCCTTCCTTTCTTTCTTCCTCCCTTCCTTCTCCCTCCCTCCTTCCCTCCCTCCTTCCCTCTCCTCTCTCTCTCTTTCTTTCTCTCTCTCTCTTTTTTTTTTTTGTTGTTGTTGATACAGAGTCCCACCCTATGCCCCTGAGCCGAGTGCAGTGGCTTGGTAGCTCATTGCAACCGCAGACTCGGGCTTGTGGGCATCCTGCTACCTCAGCCTCTGGAAGCCGCTGGGATTACAGGTGGCACCTGGCTGGGTTTTTCCATTTTTTTCATGAGTCAGGGTTTCACTCTCGCTCAGGCGAGTCTCGAACTCCTGAGCTCAAGCGATTCTCCCTCCTCAGCCTCCCACAGTGCTGGGATTATAGGCATGAGCCACTGCGCCCAGCTCTCTCTCTATTTTTGAGACAGAGTCTCACTTTGTCACTCCCAGTAGAGTGCTGTGGCATAGCTCACAGCAACCTACAACCCTTGGGCTCACATGATTCTCTAGCCTCAGCCTCCCCAGTAGCTGGGACTACAAGTGCCTGCCACAATGCCTGGCTAGTTTTCTTTTAGAGACAGAGTCTCACTCTAGCTCAGGCTAGTCTCCAACTCCTGAGCTCTGGCAATCCACCTCCCTCAGCCTCTCCGCCTACTCCCACCCCCATCCCCCGAGTGCTAGGATTACAGGCATGAGCCATGACCCCTGGCTTCCCATTCCCTTTTTTTTTGAGACAGTCTCAGGCGTCCTGGGTAGAGTGAGTGCTGTGGCATAGAGACAAGGTCTGGCTCTTGCTCAGGCTGGTCTCAAACTCCTCAGCTCAAGGCATCCATCTGCCTCAGCCTCCCAGAGTGCTGGGATTACAGGTATGAGCCACCACACCCTGCTTTGCTCTCATCCTTTTTGTGCTTGTGTTGTCTCCCAGGTACCTGGCACAGATCCCTCCTCCTCCTGGAGGCTGGGATAAGGCTTTCTTCCTCCTTCCTTTCTCATATGCAACTGGAAGCTGAAGGTCAGCTTTCCCTGGTACCCATTTTCTTGATTTTTACTTTTTTCCTTGGTGGTAAATTGTGATATTTACACTATTGTGGCAGAACAATAAGCAGAACAATCATTTGTGTTTCACAATTTGTGTGGGTGAGCTCATGCACTTTTGAAGGTCTGCCACCTTTCCAGCAGTGCCACATTTTAACTCTCTCTGGGAAGTTAGGAGGCAAAACTACCATACTTTGGGGAGGTAACATGTCCTAAGTCCTGAGTCTTTCCATACAGGGGAAAATTTTGCCTTTACCCTGGTCTTTGACAAAAGGAGAGGCTTCCTTTCTATAGAGGGTGGGCTTGAGCACTTTCCTCCTCATCTGTGTGTCTGCAGTGCCCATCCTGGTCCTTACTCCTTGGAAAGGGAGTGGGATGGTTTCCTGTGCTTGGTGCCTCCCCACTGTGGGGCCCCAAGGCACCACTTGATGGACACCCCTATTGTTCTCTGCCAGTAGCCTGGGGCTCAGACGGATGGGGCCATCTTCACAAGCTAGGTGGAGTTGACTGATGGAGCACTGCATGTTTTATAAGGAGGTGGGGGGGGGGGTGTCATCTCCATCCTCTGAAGGTTTCTGGACCCTAAACTTAACCACGAGGCAGAGCCTGAAACTGAGACAGAAGATTAGGCTAGTGTTGAGAAAGCCTCCCTCACTGTGAGGTCCACCTTAAGACACACAGCTTACCCCCAACCTTTCACTGTCATCTAATAGTCCTGGGGGGAGCTGGTACTTGACCAGGTAAGATACCTGAGGCTCAGCGGAGTTCAGGCTGGGTGCCAGGGGGCACTCGCTGGCCAGCTCCTTGCTGCCTGAGTTCCTGGGCTTACTATGTCTCAGAGGAAGGTAGAAAACCACACAGCCCTTTCTGGGGGTCCTATCTTTGTCCCAGGGACTTTAGACTCCTTTTCAAGTGTGGGCCTCATCTAGCACCTGTCCCAAGGCTCACTCCTGAGATCGGTTTCAGTAAGAAGCAGATGGAAGAGACAGGCTCCTCTCTAAGAACACACTTCCGTGGCAGCACCCCACATTTTGAGAGTGAATTGTCAGCTCAGATAAGGGATGGACTGAGATGAGGATACTGGACTTGGGCTAGTGGAGCACCTGGGACCAGAGTAAGGTGGTTTCTCAAGGATCCTGGTACTGGAAGAAGTGGCAACTGGAGCAGAGCAGGCTGGGCTCTGGGCTCTCCAGGGATGATGAGAATCACCCCCAGTTAAGGCCTCTGAAAGGGTCAAGGGGGACCCAGGAGTCTAGGTAGGTTGAAATAAGCCTGGCTTCTTACTGGATTTTCTTTATTCCATTTATTTTTTCTCTTGAAAACCCCATTCCGTCCTTGGTGAGTCAGATAAGGAAAAGTACAGAAGGTGGTGGGGCACGGGAGTGTGGGACCCTCAGTCTCCACTCTCTGCATCCTGTTGCAAACCTCCACCTCCCACCTTCAATGACAATGCTCACTGCCAGGATCACCCATCTCAGTCTGGGAGCCCACCAGGAGGCATGTCCCCCTCCCCTTACTGGCCCACAGTGGAATCAGACTCTCTGGTTTCTGGTAACTTCATCAGGGCTGCATCGTGTTACTAAAGCTGGAGATATCATCTTCCCCTGAGTAACCCTTCCCTGCCAGAGGCCCCTAAGGCTGGATTCTGGCTCAGAGGAAAGACCCTGGGTATGGAATGAATTTTGGGGTGTGAAGGTCTCTCAGGCAGAAGCAGATCAGCTGAGACACTGGTGCAGCGTATAGGAACACTGTTGTTTGACACCAGGGCCTACGATCTGATTGGGAATGAAGCGCCTACAGAGACCCCTGTGCTCCTGGTACTGCTCTGGATGCTGTCGCCCCATATCTCCAGCTAGGTCCTACTGACTCACCCCCAGGCTTGGATGCAGGCAGTGGCCCTACCTCCCTCCAGTCCTGGAGGACAGGTCCACCTTAACTGGACAGCACTTAGGGAGGGTGCCTGCTGCCACCCTCTGTGCAGGTGCATAGCCACCAGCGGCCACTGGGCTACTCACACTGGGTCTGCAGCCCAACACCATGATCCAGGGCACTTTGGAGCTGGATGGTCCCCTCTGGGGATGGGATGGGGACAGTGATGATGACTGGGACAGTGTTGTACTGGCCTTGCTGGCACTGGCTGTGGTAGCTGCTACAGCACTGGCTTTGCACTGGTTTGGCTCTGAGAAGGATCAGGAGGTGGGAAGAGGAGTGGTGTCTGCATTGTACCCGAAGTCCAACATCAATGGCTGCAGCGAGGGACACAGCCCAAGAGAGGGGACTCCAGACCTTCCAGGATGCAACCAGGGGAGTTCTGCTCCCACAGAAGACAGAAGGCTAGCCAGGCTTCCACCCAAGACAGCTCGCAAGGTGGCGCTCAGAGAGGTCTTGGGACACCAACATGGCAATGCCATCTTAGGAAGTAAAGGAAAGCAGCTTCCCAGGCCAAGCACTGCCCTGCCAGGCAGGAGCAAATCAGGGGGTACATCTGCCACCATTCTAATTCATTTCACTCCTCGAAGTCCTGGCAGTGAAGTGGAGGAGCAAGCCGAAGCAGGAGGCAGCAGTGTCAAGGGGCCAGCTCATCAGCAACAGGACACCAGCCCCTGGCAGCCAGGTGTGGAGCCCTCTGGCTCACTGTGGAGAGGTGGGGGCAGTCAGCAGGACAGAACCTCCCCAAAGCTGGGCAGTGTGGTGAGTGTGTGGGATGTTGTGGATGCTGCTGCCAGCCTGGACGCCCATGCCAGTGGCCTCTGTACGGGCTCTCAGTTGCCCCCCAGGGCTCAGGGGCCTGCTCCCCAAGCACTACCTGAGGCCCCCTCCCTGACGACTGGGGCTCCCACCCCCAGAGAGGTTCAGGGGGTCTTGGCCCCCAAGGCCAGCTGGCCCTGGGCCAGGAGGCAGGTCTTGGTCACCCAGAGCTTCAGCCCGGTTCTAGGCTCTACTGGTCAGTGGTCAGAGGGGCCTCCTAGGGGCCCTAGGTGTCCACTCTTGTTCCAAGGGCTGGGGGCCACAGGGGTGTGTGATGCAGTTGAAGTTAGGGCTAATAACTCCCCAGGTGGCCACCTCTTTCTTGGCTCAGGGTCAGGTTGGACAGAGATGCAGGGAGGCCACAGTGTCAAAGAAGGGAGAAGTTCCTGGCAAGAGGATGTTCAGGTCACTGACCTGGGATGCATGAGGTTTGTGGACAGAGAGAAGCCAGCCACAGCCAGCTGCAGCCCTGCCCACACCCTGAGCTGTTCAACCATGCCCCTACCTCTGGGCACTAAATCTGGTCCACCCTCTGCTTCCCAGGGGGCTGCTCAGGCCCTGGGTCTCCTACCTGAATCCTTGACTCCTCTGAACCCCTCTTCTTCAGACTCTTTGGCCTTGGGAGTTAGCCAGGGCAAAAGTGAAAATCTCAGAGTGAAGCTAGTCCCAGTTTCAGCCCCAACCCCAGCACAAGCCACATCCTTAGGTTTAGCCCCAACCCAAACCCCAGCCCCAACTCTACCCCCAACCCCATCCTCAGCCCTAGCCCCAACCCTAAACCCAAACCCAGCCCCAGCCCCAGTCCAAACTCCAACCCCCAACCCAGCCCCAACCCCAGTCCCAGGCCCAACTTCAACCCCAGCCCCAGCCCCAACCCCATCCTCAGTCACTGCCCCATCCTCAGTCCCTGCTCCAGCTAGTGGGTCAGAACCTGTGTCTCAGGCTCTCTCCAAGGGCTATCAGGAAGGACAAATTGTAACTAGCTGGGGAAACCTTATTGAAATGGTTCTTAGAAGCCACCCCTTCCCCAGGCAAGAGAGGTCCCAAGGGAGTTACCCAAAGGCAGTTCCTGGGAGACCTACAAATCTTCGCACTTTCATGTGCTCTGAGGATAGACAGTCTGATTCTCCCTCTGAAGGGGCCATCCCCAGCCTCAAGGAGAGGCACAGTTCTTCAGCGGGGAAGTCCACAGGGGGCCTGGTTGAGACTGGATTTCAGCCACAGCCAAGAAGCTCCAAGACCAATAGGGCTCCCAAGCCAGGCTCTCCCCCAGGCCCAAGAGGACAGGAGACCCAGGAGAAAAGTCTAGACTCACTATCTGGAGCTCTAATGCCAAGGCCCCCTTCTGAGCCCCCTGTGCAGACACGATCTGGCTCCACATCATCCCCTGCTGTGAGGGGGGACTCACAGCCTGTTCCACAGCCACAGCCACGGAAACACAGCCTGTGTGAAATAGACCAGAACTTTGAGCAGGAGGTTGGCCAGGCAGTCCCACAGCACCAGGGGGAGGCACCAGAGAAGGGGGTCAGTGCTGTAGGGAGCTCTGGGCTGCTCACAGAGAAGCAGAAAGAAGCTCAAAAACTCATGGTTTTTCTGCAGAAGCCCAGGACCTGGGGGGTAGTGGAGGGGCCCCGTCAGCCCAGCTCACGAGCCCTGGAGCCTACCACTGTCGCAGCTCTGCGGCAGCGGCTGGACCTGGGCAGCTGCCTGGATGTGCTGGCCTTTGCCCAGCAGCACAGGGAACTCGGCCTGGCCCAGGAGACCTATGCCCTGATGAGCAACAACCTGCTGCACGTGCTGGGAGACCCTCACCTATACAGGCAGCTGAGTGGGGCTGACCGGGAGCGCATCCTGAGTCTGCGCACAGGCCGGGGCCAGCCGGTGTTGGGGGTCCTCGTGCTGCCCAGCCTTTACCAGGTGAGCCATTCAGGGCTCACTAAGGGCACTCATGGAGAGGAGGCTCCTGTGGCAGGGCCTGCACCCCTGTCTCCTCGCATGCACCTACACGTGTTCAACCCCCAAGAGAACACATGGAGGCCTCTGACCCAGGTGCCCGAGGAAGCCCCACTCAGGGGCTGTGGTCTCTGCACCATGCACAACTATCTGTTCCTGGCTGGGGGCATCCGTGGCTCTGGGGCCAAGGCTGTCTGCTCAAATGAGGTCTTCTGCTATAACCCTCTGACCAACATCTGGAGCCAGGTGCGGCCCATGCAGCAGGCCCGAGCCCAGCTCAAGCTGGTGGCCCTGGATGGGCTGCTATATGCCATCGGGGGTGAGTGCCTGTACAGCATGGAGTGTTATGACCCCCGCACAGACTCCTGGACCTTGCGTGCGCCCCTCCCTGCAGGCACCTTCCCTGTGGCCCATGAAGCTGTGGCCTGTCGTGGGGACATCTATGTCACAGGGGGTCACCTCTTCTACCGCCTGCTCAGGTACAGCCCCATGAAGGATGCTTGGGATGAGTGCCCCTACAGCGCCAGCCACCGGCGCTCCAGTGACATTGTGGCACTGGGAGGCTTCCTGTACCGCTTTGACCTCCTGCGGGGTGTCGGTGCTGCGGTGATGCGCTACAACACTGTAACAGGCTCCTGGAGCCGGGCTGCCTCACTGCCCCTGCCGGCCCCCACCCCTCTCCGTTGCACTGTGCTGGGCAACACCATCTACTGCCTTAACCCCCAGGTCACTGCCACCTTCACAGTCTCTGAGGGGACAGCCCAATTCCAGGCCAGGGAGCTGCAGCCCTTCCCTCTGGGGAGTAAGGGCATCCTTTGTCCATTCATCCTGACTCTGCCCCGTGAGGACTGGCTGCAGACCTCCCTGTGAGTGGCCAGTGGAGAAGTAGGCCATTGTGTGGGGAGACTTGAGGGGATGTGGGGCACAGGAGGGGGCTGAGACCACAACTTCCTGCTGTTGTTTCTGGAACAACATTCCCTTTCTGTTATAATGAGTCTCCTGTTTTAAAGGTTGTCAGTTTTATCAGAAGTGTAATTGCCCCCTCCACCCCCTCAGCCTCCTTTTTGTCCCCCTCACCACACCCAGGCTGTTTGCTGCCCCAGTTACTTACCTGCTTACTCTGTATCTTGGCTGGTTCAACCCCCACCCTCCTCTGTAGGACTCTCCTTGTCCCAAGAGCTGAGCTAAGAGAGGAGATGGCTGGAAATCATTCACTTTTCCTATGTTCTTTTTTTTTTTTGGCAGTATCTCACTTTGTTACCTGAGGTAGAGTGTCATGGAGTCACAGCTCACAGCAACCTCAAACTCTTGGGCTTAAGCGATCTTCCTCAGAATTTTTTTTTTTTTTTTTTTTTGAGACAGAGCCTCAAGCTGTCCCCCTGGGTAGAGTGCCATGGCATCACAGCTCACAGCAACCTCCAACTTCTGGGCTCAAGTGAGTCTCCTGCCTCAGCCTCCCAAGTAGCTGGGACCACAGACACCACAACACCTGGCTATTTTTTGGTTGCAGCCGTCATTGTTATTTGGTGGGCCTGGGCTGGATTCGAACCTGCCATCTTTGGTGTATGTGGCTGGCGCCTTAGCCACTTAAGCCACAGGCACCGAGCCTGCTTAAGCAATCTTTTTGCTTCAGTTTTTCATTTTAGTAGAGACAGGGTCTCATTCTTGCTCAGGCTGGCCTCAAACTCATGAACTCAAGCAATCCACCTGTCTCAGCCTCCCTGAGTGCTAGGATTATATGCATGAGCCACTGCACCTGGCCCACACTTCCTGTGTTCTGTCAAAGGTGGAGAGGGAGCAAGAAAGTCCCCAGGTAACACCCTCCCCTCTGGGACTTTCTGCCTGCCCTGAAGATTTTTGGGAGCCTGGCTAAGCCCTACCCAGGTACCAACCCTGTATCCATTCTAAGTTTGACTGATGCTGTGAATCCTTAAGGGCCTGGGGCCCTTGTCTGTGAACTTGAGTTGGGTGGACACTGCTCTGCTGTCTGTAGCTCCTGACCACAGGCCTAGTACAGACTATCCAGGACCACTTGGGCTCATGATCCTCTGCAGCCTTGTGGGGCCTCTCTCAACCCCTCCAGAATCCCACCCCACTTCCCACCAGCCACCTTCTAAATAAGACCTGAGTTTCACCCTAGTTCTGCTGCTTTTTAGCTGTGTGGACTTCGGCAAGACATTTAACTTCCCCTTTTCCTCATCTGTAAATTTGTGTAATGGACATCTGTCACTCATGAGAGTTGTGGGGAATAAAATCACAAATGTAAGCACCTGGCATGGTGCCTGGGACACACAGCACACAATCAATAATGCATGTCCTCCCCTTACCCACTTTGAAGCTCACTTTAGGGAGGTGAATAAATCTGATTGTTTGATTGGACACTGCTACGCATCGCAACCTGTGGTCTGAGTGTCTCTGTCTGGCCTATTTTTGCTTTTTATTCTGTGCTCAGCACAAATGGCACCAGATACATGTGTCCATGCTCACTACTGTATCTTACACTTGTCATGTTTTATTCACAGGTTTGGTATATGGCTGGGTAGATCACGGCACAACGCAGAAAGGGGTCTTCAGATTGTGCTTGAAAATAAGTTTATTGAGAAACAAGTACAGTGCATACAGCTGTATATTTGGGCACCGGTTCCACCCCCAGTGGCTTCTCTACACAGGCAGATGGTGGCATAGCAGCTGGGATGAGTGGCCCAGGGGCAGCGGGGCCTACTGCTTGCGCTTGGTCTCATTGAGCAGCTCCTGCCAGTTCTTTTCCATCTCCTCCTTGCAGTTAAGAAAGGCATCCTCCAGCCGGCGCATGGACTCGGCCAGCATGGGGTTAGTGCGTATCACCACCATGTCGTAGGCCATCCAGGTTGCCTGCACTGCAACAACCAGACAGGCCCAGTCAGGCCACAGGGTGGCGCTGCAGCTCTGGCGCACCTGTGGAGGGCCAGATGCCTCTACTGTCATCAGCTCCCAGGGGGCCAGATCCCTGAGAGGGCCCATAAAAATACTCCCTACAAACACCAATCATGACATTTCCTACTCTGGTGCAAGTCAACTTCTGGATACACCAGACCAATACATTAGAAGGCTGGAAGTCAGTCTGACATGAAATGTGAGCAAAGACAGAGGAAGTGCTGGTCCTTACACACATGCAGTTCACAGCTAGTGGCTGTAGGTGACCCACAAGGAGCCATAACAATCACTCAAGCTCACATATTCAAGTGGGGCCGACCACTCCCAGTTCTGAAAGACGCTGAGTCTCATGCTACCTCATGTTCAGTGGCCTTGATGCCTGCACACTTCCACCTAGGGCACCTCTGTGCTTTCATTAAAGCCCAGGCCAGGGCTGGAAGATGTCCTTGAACTTTCACCACTGTACAGATTGACTTTCTTGCTCTTTCCCTCTGAGCGCGATCTGAGGGCAGCATTCCCTGGGCCTATAGGTGGGCATGTGCTTCTTTTCTTTCTTTCTTTCTTTTTTTTTAAGAGACAGTGTCTCACTTTGTCACCCTCAGTAGAGTGCTGTGGTGTCACAGCTCACAGCAACCTCCAGCTCTTGGGTTTAGGTGATTCTCTTGCCTCAGCCTTCCGACCAGCTGGGACTACAGGTGCCTGCCACAACACCGGGCTATTTTTTATTGCAGTTTGGCTGGGGCTTCAAACCCGCCACCCTGGGTATATGGGGCTGGTGCCCTACTCACTGAGCCACAGGTGCTGCCCAGCATATGCTTCTTGTGTGAACTCAATGGAAGTGTCCAGAAATTCCACCCCACTCTTCTCTCTGTAGCACCCACCCATTGGTGTGGCTCTACCCCCAACTATACATAGCAAAGGTCATCTCTGTTGGGCTAAAAGAGTACTTTAGGAAACTTTAGGCAACTATGTCCTCAAAGAAATTAACCAAAGAGGATATAGGCAGAATGACTAATAATAAATGCACAGGTCAGGCTGGGTATGACAGCTTGTGCCTGTAATCTCAGCACTTTGAGCAGCCAAGGTGGGAGGATTGCTTGTGGCTAGCTGCTTAAGACTAGCCTGGACAACATAGTGAGATCCCTGTGTCCATACAAAAAATTTTATAAATCACTGGCCATGGTGGTGCATGCCTGTAGACCCAGCAACTCAGGAGGCTAAGGAAGGAGGATCACCTAAGCCCAGAAGTTATAGTGAGCTGTGATCCTGTCACTGCACTCCAGCCTGGGTGACAGAAGGAGATCCTGTCTCTAAAAAAAAAAAAATAATAAACATATAAATTCACATTGTGTATCTATACAAAACCAAAGTCAGCATCATAGCAGACTTGAAGTTTTACACATAGCAATATCAGCTGAGTTAGGAAAAAATTCTTAGAAGAGGTATGTGCAGTGTCTCAGATAGCACTCATACAACTGTATAGCCAGTACAGGGATTCCTGAATGTTAGGAAGCATGAGTGTCACTTAGGGTACTTCTGAAAATGTTGACTACGGCTCCCTCCCACAACTCAGAGAGGTGTCTAGGAGGTGAGAACCTGCTTTTTTTCAAGACAGGGTCTAGCTCTGTTACCTGGCTAGAGTGCTGTGGTATGATCATAGCTCACTACAAACTCAAACTCCTGGGCTCAAGCCACCCTCTTGCCTTAACCTCCCAAGTAGCTGAGATAACAGCTATGTGCCATAACACCTGGCTAATTTGTCTTTATTTTTTTAAGACAGAGTCTCACTTTGTCACCCTCAGTAGAGTGACGTCATGTCATAGCTCACAGCAACCTCAAACTCTTGGGCTCAAGCAATCCTCACGCCTCAGCTTCCTGAGTAGCTGGGACTACAGGCACCCACGAAAATGCCCAGCTATTTTTAGAGACAGGTTCTCACTCTGGCTCAGGCTGGTCTCAAACTCCTGAGCTCAGGCAATCTACCCACCTTGGCCTTCCAGACTGCTAGGATTACTGGTGTGAGCCACGTGCCTGACCTAATTTTTTTTATTTTTTTTAGAAATAGGGTCTCTTGCTATGGCTGGTCTTGAATGCCTGACCTCAGGCAATCCTCCTGTTTTGGCCTCCCCCCCCCCTTTTTTTTTTTTTTTTGACAGGGTTTCACTTTGTTACCCCTTGGTAGAGTGCTATGGTGTCATAGCTCAGAGCAAACTTCAACTCTTGGGCTCACGTGATTCTCTTGCCTCAGCCACCCAAGTAGCTGGGACTACAGGCACTGCCACAATGCCCAGCTATTTTTAGAGATGAGGTCTTGCTTTGGCTCAGGTTGGTCTCAAACCTGTGAGCTCAGGAAATCCACCCACTTTGGCCTCCCAAGTGCTAGGATTACAGGCGTGAGCCACAGTGCCCAGCCCTCCCATATATTTTTTTTTTTAAACAAGGTCTTGCTGTATTGTTCAGGCTAGAGTGCAATGGTTGGATCATAGTTCACTGCAAGCTCAAACTTCTGGGCTTAAGCAATCCTTTGCCTTAGCCATGTACCACTCACCCCACACACTTTTTTTTTTCTGTGAGTCAGAGCCTCAAGCTATCCCCCTGGGTAGAGTGCCGTGGCACTCCCTTGGAGGAGCCCAGCAACCTCCAACTCCTGGGCTCAAGCGAGTCTCCTGCCTCAGCCTCCCAAGTAGCTGGGACTACAGGTGCCTGCCACAACGCCCGGCTATTTTTTTGTTGCAACCATCGTTGTTTGGTGGGCCCAGGCTGGATTCAAACCCGCCAGCTCAGGTGTATGTGGCTGGCACCTTAGCCACTTGAGCCACAGGCGAAGAGCCCCCACGCACTTTTATTTGTTATAGAGACAGGGACTTACTATGTTTCCCAGGTTGGTTTTGAACACCTAGCCTCAAGCGATCCTCTTGCTTTGGCCTCCTAAAGTCCTGGGATTACAGGTGTGAGCTACTGTGGCTGGCCCCAAACCTGCCTCTTAACAAGAATCCTGAATCATCCTGGGGCAAGGAGTCTGCACACCACCTTTTAGGCCATCTGGACAGCAGGCAAAGCAGGGCCCTGGGAGCCAGCCCAGAGTTTTCTTCCTAGATCTCTACTTACTATGTGACTTGGAACAAGTGGCTCAAATTTACTAATCTAAGTCTCCTCGTCTGTAAACTAGAGATTAGATACCAATCTCACAGTTTGCTATGAAGATCAGATGGGTAATATATATAAACTGCCTAGCACACATGTTATGGATTGAATATTTGTATCTGTAGCATCCCATATAGCTTATGGCTAGGAGGAGTGAGAGTTATAAGTAACATCTGTATAGCTCAATAATGGACCACCTTGGCGAAAAGGGCATGGGGAGAGATTTAGCTCTCTTAACAAGCATGAGAGCTCATGAGATGACAGTATTAGTGAATTGGCAGTCTCTACACCTGTGGTGTTAAGAATTACGAGATCAGCTCTATATTAGGCTGGAGGAGAAGGCAGTCGGGAGCATGCACTTTCTATCATGGACCCACTAACTCTGTTGCCTCTCCTGCCAGCCCCGTGGGTCTCTGTTGAAGATTACCAAGCTCTGCTATAGACTGCTAAAGCCCTATTCTTCTAAGACTATTTCACCTTCAAAGACTATCTCTCTCTCTCTCCCTTTTGCTGAAGCAAATAGCCCTGAGGCACCTAAAAGCAATTGTTCCTGAACGAGATAACAGCATAGTGGTCCATGTCTGGAACATAGCTAGATAAGCAGGGGGCCGGAGACCTGACTAGTCCCGGGCCCTGATACGTGTCTCCTCAAGAAGCCACCAAATTTATATGTTGAAATCCTAAGCTGCAATGTGATGGTATTGGGGGGTAGGGTATTTGGGAGATGGTTAGGTCCTGAGAGTGCAGACGTCATGAATGGGATTAGCACCCTTATAGGAAGAGACATGAGAGCTTACTTTCTGTCTGTAAGGGTATGTGAGGTTCTATGTGAGGATAAAAGATCCAGCCTCCAGAACTGTGAGAAACAAAAAGAATTTTTTAACATATATACCCAAAATCTAAAAAGCCATTTATTGCAATTCTTTTTTAAACAGTCCAGTGACTTTCCACCTTCAAGTTTGGAAAGATTTGATTTCCTCAAGAGGATATCGAGCACCAGTATCTTCCAATGTTAATAAACTGTTACATTAGTTCCACCAATTCACAATTTACTATCAATATACTACATACTCAACTTTTCCATTTTTCACAGCAAATTAATTAAATTTTTAGGAAAACAGGACTAACCACAACCAAAGATGTTACAGAGTGTACACAATTCTGACAGGGAGAGTCATTATCAAGGGAATGGCTTTCTTTAGGAAAAAATTCTAGTAAAAAACAACATGGGAATAGAAGTAATTAAAAATATTCAAGACATGATATGCAGAACTGGGACTCCATATTGCCAATTAGTATGCTTTGTATTATAGGATATAAGAACT